TCTGTGCTGCCTGCGGTTGGCTCTCTTCCTCCTGGCGGGTGTCCCTGCTCCTGCGGTGTCCTGTCAGCACGGCGGGGTGGGGGGGGAACTCTTCACTCTATCAATGGGGAAACTGAGGCACAGAGCCACATCCTCCTTTTGGCTCACTGACCGGGCCAAATGCTTGCCATGGGGCAGGTGGAGCCCTCGAGGGACCCTGTGGTCTTGCAGGAAGGCTGTGGCACCCAGGAGCCCCCACATGGAAACCTTGTCCACTCTCTGTGGTGGGCCTATGGGAGCTGGTGGCACCCCCAGGCCGGAGCCGGTGCCTTGGGCCCACGGTGCCAGCACCCACAGGGGAACCACTGCAGGTCAGACGTGATTCCCCTCCAGATGCGGCCACGTGTGATCCACTGCCGGGCGGCTGAGGACGCTGCGGTCCCCAAAGGGCCACCCGCCATGGGCCAGGAGGGCAACGAGAATCTGCTGAACATCCCCCGTCCAAGGGAAGGCGGTCCAGGGAGTTGGGAAAGGGTCACTTCTGGCTGCCACTTCCGCTTCAGGCTGGGCAATGGTTTTGCAACCTCGCTTCCTGCCTGAGTGACATAAAGCAGCCAGAAGAGGAGAGGCACGGGTGGACAGCGCAGGTGAGGGACCTTCTGGCTCTCCTGGTGGGTGCCGAGGAGCTGGAGCGCAGCAAGCCCCCACGGGCCTCGCGTGCCCCCAGCGCTCTGCGCTTCCGCCGAACTCCTCTCTGCAGCCGTTTGGGGGTTTCGTTCGGATTCGCCCCCACATCAGCCTGCAGCGGAGAGTGAGACCAAGGAGAGGAAGGACTGGCAAAATCCCTGGGGAGCTTCCCGACAAGAACTGGACTGGGAAGGGCAAAAGACTCTAGACTTGGGGGAAGCAGCTAAGGAAGAGACTGGTAAGTCTGCAGGATGCTCAGCTAGAGCCTGAGGTTTTCCTTCGGCTTTGCCAGCCCTGGAGCTCCACGGCTAAGTTTCTGCCTGCCCCCGTGTTTGGAGCAGGGCAGGCAGGGGTGGGGGCACCCACTGTGCCGGGGTGGTCTCCTGCGTCTGACTGGTCCCTGAGAGCTGGGTCGTCTTGCACAGGGGTAGCTGGATACGGTGGGGAAGGAGCTGGCATTGAGGGCGAGCCTGGGGGTCTGTGCCTGGGGCTGATCTCAGCTGGCTCCTCGATGGGGGCAAATCCTTCCCTTCTTTGAGGCTGGGGAGTGCGGGTGCTGCAGGCGAAAGCACCTGCTCCCATTTCCTTTGCATGTGGCGGTGGGCTGGGAGGACATTTCCCCATGCTCCGTCCCTCCTTCCTCCCGCAAAGGGACTTGCTGGGCCAGCTGGTTCACAGGGAGGACTTCCATGGCGGAGGGTTTGGGGAGGAAACTGGGTGCTTCTTGTTCTCCCGAGCTGCCCTGGGCTGGGCTGGGAGCCTGATACCCACGGAGGGGGGTAGAGTAGGGTGAGGAAAATCTGGTCGCCGGAAGAACCGCAGGGATTTTGAGAGGGGAGTCAAAACAAGAAGCCAAAAATACCCCAAGGGGAAGCGTGTCTCTTCTACCCTGAGCACAAGTGTCTGGCTCTGCTCAGTGCCCATGGAGGCTGAGGAGCCTGCAGCAGCCCTGCCTTGGGGACCTTCCCTTTTGGTGCCAGCAATGCCCCAGGCTGCGGCCCACCAGGGAGATGGAGAGAGATCTCCATAGGAGCAGAGCTGGCAGAGCCCGGGGAGGGTTTGTCACTCCATGGGCACTGGTGGGAGCCTGGCTGAGCACTGGTCCAGCTCTGGGCTTCCAGTGCAGAAGAGATTGTGACAAACTGGAGCTGGTCCAGCCACAGGGGTTGGAGCATAGGATGTAAGAGGGAAGATGGAAGGAGCTGGGTATGTCTAGCTGGCAGAAGACAGGGCGAAAGGGGGATCTAATCGCTGTCTTCAGCTGTTTGATGGGGGCTATAGAGAAGACAGAGCCAAGCTCCTGGCAGAGAGGCCCAGCAAAAGGGCAAAGGCACCAGCAGAAGCTGCAGCGGGGAAATCCCCACTGGGCAGAAGGGGAAAGTTGTTCCCAGGGAGAGTGGCTGTGTTCAAACCAGGCCAGCTCAGGGCCCGAGCCAGGGCTCCCAGCTCTGTGGGGCCTCAGCAGCCCCCAAGCAGGTCTGGCAACTCCAAGTACAGATGGGGAGAGGGGGCCAAGAAATGGAAACTGGAGTGAAAAGGAAGCTTCAATCCACAATGGGAGAAAGATGAAACCTTATAGTCTTCAGGAAGGTGGGGATGATGTGCACAGGCCATGTCCTAAATGCCAAAAGACGCAAAAAACCAACTGTCACCTGTGATTTCCCCACTATGGCAGAGCTAAAGGGTGGCAAGTGCTGAGCAGAGGAACAGGAAAACCAGAGATGTGCAATGTTTCCAAAGCCACCTGCGAAGGGCAACATGTTCTTCCGTCCCAGGGGTGAAACTTGTCACACAGGGAGAGGACCTGGGGGGAGAAGAAAGGCATGAAATCACCTTCAGACCTTCCAAATTCCACTCCTTCCCTAACACCATGGCTGCAGCATCACTGCTGTGCAGGATGGCAGGAGGGGCAGAGTCAGTGGAGAGATCCTTGAGGGGCTGGGGATGCTGGAGGGATCCAGAGGTACTTGAAGGATGCAGAAATGCCCAAAGAGCTCAGAGGTGCTTGAAGGACCAACACATACCAGAGGGATCCAGGGATGCTCAAGGGCCAAGGTGTCTTCTGGAGGGGACTGAACTCGAGTAGAGGTGCTGCGTTGATGGGAAGCCCCCACCCCAAGATGAGAGGGTCGATCAGAGATGGGGACCCGGGAAGATACATGTGCTAATCAAGGAAACCCTTCTTTTATGGGAGGGGAGAATGAAGGGGGACAGGGAAGAGACAGGGTTGGGGTGAGATTTAGCTGGTCTTTACCTGAGGACTGGCCGGTCCTTGGTGCTGTGCTGTTTCTGGTGTGGGACTGGCATGCAAACATTGTCTGGCCTGGGGGGAACTGGGCTCTTCCTAGCAGCTGCATGGCCCAAAGATCACACTGATTTAGAAGCGTGAAGACGTGGCCTGGGAGGAGATGATGGGTCAGGTTCTGTCCTGGGAGAAAGGCTTGAAGACAGGAGGGAACTGAGCTGCCAGAGGGGCTCTGGGGGTGTTGTACAAGCAGACGCAGAGGTGATAGTGTCCACATGTAGTGCTGTCCTTTACCTGGCACAACATGGACACAGGGCACAGTGGAGCGAGGGAGGAGCACTGCCGGGGCATGGAGATGTTGGAGGACCCAGAGATACTGCCACTTCTGGCTCAGGCCAGGCTCCCACTTTGCACTCATGCTGCCTTTTTTCCTTCCAGGTGAAATGGAGACAATTTCCTTCAACGGGGATCTCTCTGATATCTTCTTACTTTACAACTACACCTATGACTACAGCACTGCCTTGCCTGACACTGCTATCTCCTCCTCCCCATGCCGACCTGATAGCTCTGTCCTCAATAAGTACCTAGTCGTGGTGATCTACTGCCTCGTCTTCCTCCTCAGTGTGGTGGGGAATGGGCTGGTGGTGTTAGTGGTGACCTCCAGCCATACAAACCGCTCCGTCACTGACATCTACCTGCTCAACCTGGCTGTGGCGGACCTGCTTTTCGCCCTCAGCCTGCCCCTCTGTGCTGCCTACCGGGCCCATGAGTGGGTTTTCGGCACCGTGATGTGCAAGGCCATCTCTGTGCTACAGGAGGCCAACTTCTACAGTGGCATCCTGCTGCTGGCCTGCATCAGTGTGGACCGCTACCTGGCTATCGTCTATGCTACCCGGGCTGCCACTGAGAAGAGGCACTGGGTTAAGTTTGTCTGCATGGGCATTTGGATCTTCTCCATCCTGCTCTCCCTGCCTGTCCTGCTCTTCCGCGAGGCCTTCCCCTCACCCAGCAATGGCACAGTATGCTATGAGCGCATTGGCGGTGAGGACACGGCCAAGTGGCGGGTGGTGCTGCGGGTCCTCCCGCAGACCTTTGGCTTTGCGGTGCCCCTCCTGGTGATGCTTTTCTGCTACGGCGTCACTGTGCACACCCTCCTCCAGACCAAGAATGCCCAGAAGCAGCGGGCCATGAAGGTCATCCTCGCTGTGGTGCTGGTCTTTCTCATCTGCTGGCTGCCCTACAACATCACCCTGGTGAGCGACACCCTCATGAGGACGCGGGCCATTGCCGAGACGTGCGAGAGGAGGAACAGCATCGACACGGCCCTCTCTGTCACGCAGGTCCTGGGCTTCGCCCACAGCTGCATCAACCCCATCATCTATGCCTTCATCGGGCAGAAGTTTCGCAACAGCTTCCTCAAGATCCTGGCACAGCGCGGCCTCATCAGCAAGGATGCCGTGGCACGCTATGGCCGCAGCTCTTTCGCCTCTTCCTCCGCCAACACCTCCACCACCCTCTGAGCTCTGACGCTCTCCTGGGACCTGAGCTGCCTGGCTTGTAGCAGACCCCAGGACCCTGGCTCTCCCTTCCTGCACACCCCAGCACCCTCGCTCAGACTCTGGGGACATGGCCTTGGGTGCTAGGCACAGCCCTCCAGGGTTCCCTGCTTGTAGATGGGTGTCAAATGGGGCTGTGCTTGCTGCATGTCGGTGATGGGGAGAGTGTGTGGGGATGGGCTATGCGTAAATGTATGTGTGTGCGATGCTGTGCGTATGATCATAAGTTTGCATGCGTGCGACTGGGAGAGTGTGTTGTGTGTGATCATATGTGCACGCAATCATGGTGCAATCACGTATGTGTGGGAGTTTGTGTAGATGTGATTGTGTGAGGCTGTGTATGTGTGTATGTGCACAACTATGTGCATAAGTGAGCGTGCATAAGAGTGTGTGTGACTGAGCAGATGTGTGTGCATGTGACTGTGCATGTGTGTATTTGTGTATATGTGATAGCTGAAATGTGCCCATATGAATGTGTATGTGATTGTGAGTGTGCATGTGAGTGGTATTTTCATATGAGAGCACAATCACGCATGCACGTGTGCACGAGCACTACTGGGTATTCAAAAGTTTGTATGTGCGTTAGTGTGTGCAAATACGTGATCATCTGTGAGTTGATACATATGCGAGTGTGTGTGCATGAGCATGCAAGTGTGTGCACAATTGTGTGTGAAAGTCTATGTGACCGTGAACAGGGGTGTGTTCATGGGAGAGTGCACGATTCTGTGTGTGTGATTGTGTGTACATCAGCGAGTTGGAGGACACGTGACCGTGCACACAGCAGTGAGTTGGGGTGCATGTAGCTGTCCATCAGGCTGCCTGGGACACACAGAGGACAGAGTGGCCGTTGGGCACCATCAGCAGGCCCCGACGGCACAGCGATGGCCGGCGAGCAGTGATGCCACGGTGATGCGTGAGGCTGCCGCTGGAATAGGGACCCCAGCAGGAACAGGGCTTGGGCAGTGAGGGGGTACGAGCCACCTCAGCCTTGTTCCCAGAGAAAAGATGCCCAATGCTGCCCTCTCTCCCCTCACTTTAGGACAGAGCTTGTGACATTGGGGACCCCACGCCAGGGCCATGGGATGCGGACGGTGTTTGTGGCTGACGGCCGTCCAGCAATAAAGCAGCGGATGGGTTTGTCACCCGTGTTTGGCTCCTGTTTGCCATGGGGATCTAGCTGTGTGGGATGGGGGTGGTGGTGCAGGGCACACCTCTGGGGAGCCTCTTGGCCATGATGTTTCTTGGAGGACAATGGGTCCTGGGTTCCCTACCCTAGCAGGCTCCCTCCTTGCTGCCCTGTGTGCTATGCTGAAAAGGCTGGGTTCAACGTGTCCAGACCAGCTCGGCCCCGCGGTGTGTGCTGTAACGCTCCATTTCCAAGCTGGGAAAACGTCATTACCCAAGAGGCAGTTGCAGATGGTTTTGCATCCTGTGCATCCCCAGAGGGGACCCAGCAGCAGGTCTTACCCTCTGTGTCATAGAGCCAGGCCCTGTCCTTTCCTTGGCCCGGGGTCTCCATGACCCGTTAGTCCTGCCTGGGAACAGGGCTGGGGGCGGTCCTGCCACCTCTTTCCCAACACCCATCTGAACCCAAATGACGCAAATCAGGGCAAGATCCCATTGCAGCTGCTCTTTGCCCTCGCTGACGCAGAGCCAGTCCTGTCCCCGATGGGTCAAGATTGCCGGCACCCCTCCTGCCCCCCCAGCACTGCGGTGCCAGGCGGTCGTTGTGCAAAGGGCTGGGAACCTGTCCCTTACACAACCGGGCAGGGGAGGAGGGAGTGTTTCCGTCCCCGCTTGGGCAACTGGGGCTGGCACCGGGGTGCAGCAGAAGGGCTGGAGAGGGGGCTGTGACCCTGCTGGGGTCCTACCTGCCCCCTTCCATGACATGCGTCAGGGTGTCTGTTCCAGTAGGCCCAGGCGTCTCTCCATGGGGGTCCCGTACTGCTCCTCTGTTGTCCCCTGCCCCGGTGTCCTGGGAGTCCTTAACACAGGGGATGTTGGTAGGTGCCTGCAGCACGCTGGGTGGTGAGGTGCTGAGGACAGGGTCATGAAGGTCCTTTGGCACACAGGCACGGAGCCCTCCATCCTTGGGGTTCGGGGCTGGGCGGGGGCAGCAGAGCACCTTGGCAGAGACACGCCATCACCTTTGCATCTGGGAAACCTCTTGCCCAAGCAGTTCCTCGCAGCCCGGCAGGAAGCTGGGGTTGTTGGCTAAGAGCTGTCTCTCCTGCCCGTTGCTGCCTTCCTGCCAGGGCCTCGCGGTAGGGCAGGGGGCAGGCAGGGGCTCAGAGGGGCCTCAGACGGGGCAGCTCTTCCTGACATGATTTTCCCCCAAGGAGGGTTTGGACAGCCCACCTTGGCATCATCCACCTCCTGCACCCCGGCCAGGGATTCGAACCGACGACGACCAGCAGGTGACACGGGAGCCACTGAGTTAGCAGGAGCGGGTTGTTTTCCTCTCCGTGGACCAGCCACGTGAAAGACATGTCTGAAACCCTAAAGAGTGAATGGAAGAACCTGTGCAGCAGGCCCCGGATGCCTGGGTCCCTGGCTCATGTGAGTCCGTGAGGAGGCAGCGAGGGCAGACTGTGGCTAGAGGGGGTGTCCCAGGCATGGCATGACGGACGTGGTCCTGACTCACGTGGCCTGCTGGTGCCTTTGTTGGTAGCAAAGCAGGCAGCAACGACCCTGCTTGCCCACGTCCACAGAGCACGCATGGCACACCTTGTCCTGGCACAACCTGCAGAGAGAGGACAGGCTTGTGAGTGCTAAGGCCATGCCACCCAGTGTTCCCCATCCCCCTGGATGCCCACCCCGCCTACCTCGCTCTCTCCCCCCATGCCCTGGGCCTCACCTGCAGTTGTACCGCCGGGAGAGGAGGCGGAAGTCCTTGTGGCAGCGGGCGCACAGCCCCATGTCACGGGGTGCTGGGCTGGGCATCTGCGGGTCGATACCCTCTGTCTTCTGCCACAGCGCATCCTTCTCCCTGCAGAGAGGGGTCAGGTCAGCTCCGCTTGGGCACGGGGGCAGGCAGAGCCTCTCCGCCCCGCCAACACCCTCAGGAGTGGTGTTACCCCCAAGCTGGACCCCCTGGGTGTACGGGCAAAGGGTGTATGTCTCTCTTGGGCATCTCCCTTTCTGTAGTGGGTAGGGGTTCATGGGAGCTTGGCTGGGTGGGCACAGGCATGCGTGTGTACACACACATGGGAACACCCACACGTGTAGACACTCATGCATATGTGTGCATGCGTGTGTGTGTGTGTGTGTGTGTGTGTGCGAACATGAGTCTGATGGCATGCACAGGTCACGCACAGGCAGGAGTGTATGTGTGTGTCTGGTGTGTGTGCCATCTGTTGCACTCACATGTGTTATGTGCTCCCATGCCACAGCCCCTCTTTGGCTGTGCTCTGGTTTACGCGTGTGCAACAGCCCTGGCAAAAATCCACGTGCCCTTTGCTGTAACAGCCCCCTCTATAGCCACTGCCCCCTCACTGCTGGCCCAGCAATGGGAGGTCTGGGTGGAAGGCCTGGCACTGAAGACCCAAGGTGGGCACTCAAGTCTCCACTCAGGTCTTCAGGTTGGCTAGTGGGATTTGCCTGGGCTCTAGTGCCCTCCTCTGGGCAAAGGGGCTGGAGAGCATTCATTTGCATACGGCGCAAAGCCTGCCAGCCATGGTCACCACAGAAAGGGTAGGCGCAAGGCTGCCTGGGGCTCTCACCGCAGCAGCTCCAGCAGCCGCCCCTTCATGTCACGGATGAGCTCCTGCTGCCGGGCCTGCTCCTCGCCGCGTGTGGCCTCCCGCTCCATGGCCTCCCGCTGCGCCCGCTGCAGGGCTGATGCCCAGCGCTCCCCGTCCTGCCGTGCCCTGGCACAGAGGGTGGAATGACTGTTCTGAGCCCAGCCCTGGGGTCCTGGGACAGCTGGGGTGGTGGTGGGGAACCCCCCATCCCACAGCCGGCCATCTCTCCATCCATCCCTCCTCCATCTGCTCGCCCATCCGTCCCCTAGTCCATCCATCTCTGCATCCCCACAGCCATCTCACCATCCACTAGTCCATCTGTTTCTGCATCCTCATAGCTATCTCACTATCCATCAGTCCATCGATCCACCCACCCAGCTGTTTTCCAGCCATTCATACACCCTTCTTCACACCCTTCCTTCCATCCCTCTGCCCGTTCATCTACTCTCCATCTACTCACCCTAAATTCATCTCTCGATTCGTCTGCCCACCCATCTGTCCCTTCATCCATCTACTCACCCCAAATCCATCCCTCCACCCATTCATCCATCCCCATCCATCTGCTCACCCCACATTCATCCCTCCGTCCATCCCTCAATCCCCCACACATCTCCTCACCACAAATTCATCCCTCTGTCCCTCCACCCACCCCTCCATCCCCTCTCATCCATCCGTCCCCAGATCGATCCCTTGCTCTGTCCCTCTGCCAGTGCTCTGCCTCTGCTCCTCATGGGGATGCAGTGGGGCACCCGAGGGCCAAATCTCTCCCAGTCTCCCCCTTCTAGGGCCAACGCTGTGGGGTGAGGGGGCTATGCAGTGGGAGTGGGGGCATGCTGGCAATGGGGGTGCTCCTCGCCTACCTGCCCAGCTGCTCCTCCA